GTTATAGTTTACGGGATTATATTATTCTTAGTTTAAGGTTCGTAAGAGTCGCGTTCTAACGGGGAGGCCTATGTTCGACAGTGTAAGTCTTGTCTTGTATTAACTAATGTTTTTGCTTTCAGTCCCGAGACTATTAAAGCTTCATCTGACGCAGAACCGGTGGGCTAGCCAGAACCCACGGGCTTGGGACAGTGGAAGTCTGGCGGCTGATGATGATGATGGTGTTTTAAAAGTTCGTCTTTTAAACTCTATAAAGCCTCATCAGGCTTTAGTACAAGTCCTCTTAACTTTTTATATACTAATTCCGTATTTTTCGTCTGGATTTATTTATTTGGCCCGTCGCTTTGTAGACTTGCTAATCAATCGTTACAAATTGAGAAAACTTTCCGAGTTAGTCCGAGAGTAATCCGTACATTTGTCTAATGAAGAAAACGGGGAATGTCCCAATAAAGAAAATAATTTCTCTTCTTGTCTTCAATGTTCCTTGAGTCGATTCCACATTTTGTTAAAAAAAAAACATCCTGTAAAGATTAAAAGTCCAATTAAATAGGAAATTAAAGTATAAAATTTGAATCTGTAATTTAATAACGATATTAGTATGTATAGAATGGTTTCAGTAGAAATAATTGTGATATTATTATGGATAGGAGACTTCAACACGGATAATTACCATTACGTCCAAATAAAACTTCCTAACAAGAAGTTTTTCATTACTAACTGACGTTTACAAAATGATACTTTGTTAATGGATATTTCAATAGATAATGTCGAATGTCTTTAGAGATATACTTGAGAATAGAGATTTTGCACGGTTTTGGCAAAAATATACCTTCTGTTTGTTCACTCTCTCCGCTTCGTATCCTCAGTCAGTTCTCTAATCTGATTTATTTGTCACGTAACATTTGAACTGCTGTAGTGGAAAGTTCCCTCTTCGGTTGTTTATAAGATATTGTCCCATTCGGAGCTTTCGTGTCGGTCTTATTAAGGTCGCAGTGAATATTAGATTTGCGCGAGACCAATCACTTCGTGGGTAATGCTGGAATTACCTTGCATTGTTCGCATGTAATCGCGTCGCGTTCTAAATCCGTTATGGTTATGGTTTCCGATGAAACACACAGCGCTCTATTGTGTTTGAAGGTTTTTAAAGTTTAAAAAACTGGCTTGAGTGTTTGGGGCATTATTTGTATGTATGTAATGAAACATTCCTTTAAATTATAGGGATGGCTGAAATAATACGTTATTGCGTAATTGCTGTGTGTGTGCGTCCGAGTATATGTCGTAGTGTCACAATAAACATGATCAGGCCAGCTGACCATTTAAAAAAGTGCTATACCGATTTAATGGCGTTTTATTTCTTTTGTTAACTCACGACGCTTCGAATATGTTATAGCAATCGGATATTTGTGTCGATTGAAGAAAACTATACTGTATTATCTAGTCTTATCATTAAATTATTGGCTTCCATGAAGGCGATAGTGACTATAACAAAAACAACACCAACACCAACAAGCTCTACCTTTCAACCCATGATCTCTCTTCTCTCTACCTCGCGTAGCATATTCGTTTATTTGTAAAATCTAATACAATCGCAATATTTTATTTATAATTTGTACAAAAAAAAATAGTTAATTTCACTCTGATATTAATAAGATCACACATAATAGTAGTTTTTTAGCCTGATTAATAGCGAATCTATTGCTAAAAATATCATCACATAAAATACATATCAGTTTTGTTATCAAAACTAAGTGGAAATTTAGTGTAAACATTCATACATATCTATGGCCTCCACGAATAAATGTCTTATGAAAATGGTTATTTTTAATTTTAATTCGCGCCACTTCATTGTTCTCCTGCATAAATATTTCTCGAGTAGCAACGCAGGTGCCCCGTGTTTTATATACGAGCGTTCCGTCCAGCCAGTTGCTAAATTACCTAACGCATGTAGCCGGGACTCGCTAGTTTGCTGTAACGTTGTTGTTTATAGAACAAATAGCCGCGTATAACTTCTAAAGTGTTCGACCTGAGCAGGTTCTTTTACTGTGAACATATACCTTGTATTGTAGTGTATGTTGTATATAATAAGTTAAAAGTAACATATGAGTTGCTAATTCATTAATATCGATTAGATTCAGAAGCTTCTTATAAGAAATAGAACACCTTTTATTGGGTAAGCGCCCGCTTTGGAGGTTTTTAATTCGTTGAGCAGTTTCAGATTTAACGCATAAAGTTGTGTAATAGAAAATAGCTTTGTGAAGCATTATCAGTTAACAATTCTTTAGCCCCGCGCATCAGTGAAACAAATTGCTTTTTATGCGTTCAATGCACTTTTACTGTACGTTCGTATATATAGAAGGAATCCATTCGTTCCTCTTTAATGTAACTTTAAATATTTACGATCGCACTGGAGGAGTTTCACTGTGAATTCATGCTGTTACTTGTTTCATTTTTAAGTTTATTCATTTTTATACATTTTATATCAATGTTGACTAAGTAGGTAACCCTGCTTTGACGCATATGATAAAAACAGCCGATAAATAAATGAAGTCGAACTTTTTGTTATCATTAAGAAGTATACTCAAAATACGATTAGAATGTTTCGTAGTTGGCAGATCTAGAAAAGATCTAGTTGCTTTAAACATATCCTTAGTGGGAATTAGTCTATATTTTTAAATAACGCAAAAACTATTAACAATTTCTTTTTTATTAAAATTTTTGTAGAAAAAGGGACGAAAAGTTCCTCGCCGCTGTGGGAATCGAACCCACGTCTTCGGGATTCGCGCCCTGATGCTCTAGCCACTAATCTAAACGGCAGATTGCCACACCGAAAAAAAAATTAAATTTCTTTTTTATCTGCAAATTCTTTTTTTTTGAGGAACTATTGTAACTGCTATTGGTAACAGCGTCCAAAAGATAATTGACGTATTCGAGTTGTTTATTCCATGCCTTATTCCATACATGTTACATGAAAGGCCAGCCCCGACTTTATCTAAGAATTTCAATTATGTCCAAATTTTCCGAATGATTACTAAATATTTAAATAAGAAAGCTTAGAAACAGTAAATTTTGGCTTTAATGTTTGCTAAAACATATTTCTCATTAGCTATCGATATGTATTAATTTTTTTAATTACTTTATAAAATCAGCCATTACATAAAAGAACACTCCAATGTTCACTCTTTATAATATTAGTTTAGAAGTACAGATATCACTTAGCTTATTGCTCGTAGCAGAGAAACTCCAGTGGCACGGAGTGCATGAAAAATTTTAATAAAACGCGGAGCGCAAAGACTATTGACGTCCACAACTATGAATAAAGTTCTCGTTATGATTGCAAAGTGGTCGCCATGATTGAACTTTATATGAGATGGCTATCGTAAATTTTATTTAAACTATGAACAGATTTATGGTCTAAAGCATACATGTTTCATTCAGTCATAGTCTTAGCTTCTTAAATATGTATATGAATTCGGTTTTGTTCAGAATCTGTATGGATTCTTCTTTGAAAAAAACGTGTTATAGATAGACTTTTGCGAAAACAATGAGGGTTGATTATTTTCTCGAGTAATTGTGTTTTTGTATCTAAACTGCAAACTTCTCGTAAATATGGATTTATGAGAATGTAACAAATACATGCATGTATTACACATCATACAAACTAATAAGCTGCAGAATATATAAGATAATATATAAACCTTATGTAACTCACCATATACAATTAAAATTTATAAGATAAAATTATAAACATATGTAAATAAAATATATACATTTTTTTGATCCCATTTGATTTTTCTCGTAATCCCGGAAAAAGAAATATTTCTTACCGCATGGAGCTATGATTCTTGTGAAGAATAAGACAGTTAGATTCTTATAACGTCTTTTAATGAGTATGTTTTAGATTTGATATCAAAATTAAATTTCATTTATTTATCTAATGTGGTGTTGGGCCACGTTTACCTAGTCAACAGAATTGACGGTCAAACAGTTTAAGCAAACAGCTTTGACGCAACATTATGACGCATTTTTTCCAGGTTTTTATAATATTTAATATATAAATAAATGTAGTATAATTTTAAGAACCAAATAACATGTGAAAAGTATTAACGTTTGATTTGATTCAAAGTGTGAACTTTAACACAATTCTATATTTTTGAATTTTTATAAGATTTATAAACTTGTTACTTACGTTACTTACTCTTACTTGTACTGGTAGAAAAATTACCCAAAAACTTTCGCCCCTGCTGATTCGAATCTGCCTCTACCTAGTTATAATTTCTATAAAAATTAACATTTAATTTTATAAGATGCTAATACTGATTTATAGTGCTTGTTTGTTGTACTTGTTTACAAGCCTCATTTTAATAAAACCACTTTCTTCTAGTATCCTATCCAGTGAAATATAAAACATCATTGGTTGAGACATTCTGGTGGCAGCATTTGAGTTATGAAAATGGGAATACGCAGACGAGGATATGGTCAACCACAAAGGAGAATGAGTTTCAAATATCGGGGACAGTGTATAGTGGTGACCGACTTGCCTAACACTGAAATCACTGTTATACTGATTTCATTCACAAAACTCGTATGAAATTCACGCGCGATCTAATAAGTCTAGGATTTCGTTCTATAATATTAAGTATGAATGATAAGTAATGAATAAATCAAATATTTTTCGTTGAAATGCAATAGAAACATCATTCAATTGCCCTTCCTTAGTATTAAACATTCGAGTAATTTCTATGAGATACTTCAAAACGATCTCGACAGAATTTGTTATTAAATTCGTCTATTGCGAGTCATGCCTTTTATATTATCCCTAAAGCTTTTCATAAATTTTTAAATAACCCGCTTATAACTCAACCTCTCACGATTTCGAAGGATATAAAACAAAATTCAATCCTGTTTTCATTTTAATGACGTCCCTTGCGCCTTTTAAAGTTAGCTCCGTGTTTGCATTCATCTTTACATTGTGGCAATTACTTTATATGCTTCCTTTGCAGACGACCCAAATGCCACAGTGTTTGGTTCGGTGACGGAAGGCGTTTTCGAGGGGAAGATGATCACCAGCGATGGCACCTTCTACGTGGAGCACGCGAGGAGATACTTCCCGCCAAATGGGACTCGAACCCGAGTCCACTCGGTGATATACCGCGAGGGGGACGTCAGCGATCCATACTCCCACCGCCGTCATGGTAAGTGCGAGATGTACTTAATTTATGACGTTTTCATTTATGTTACGAGTCACTTTTAAAGGAAGTCCTTTGAGGTGCGGTTAAACTAAATCTTGGTAAAGTTTCGTGTGCGCATGCATTATGCGGACATTTCTTTTCACCCGACTTATTCCGAGGTAGTCTTTGGAGTTCATATTTACTTAACGATTTTAGGGGTTTTAAACACATGATGCAGTTGTGACAATGACATAGGTTAGTATTAATGTTAATATTAATAAAGTTTCTATGCAGTAAGGGTTTTTGTTTTTAATTAAATTATTCGATGACTCCTTGGCGAAGTTGCCAAGGTATCAGTTTCGGCGCTGGGGGCCGTAGTGTCGAATCCCACACGGGACAACTCTTTGTTTGACCCACAGATGATTGCTTCCGATTTGGGTGTTTGTCATTTAAAGAAATTTTTGGTCAAGGGAAGTGTATGTAATAAAAAAGAAATAATATATCGATTCCTATATTTTAATTCCACCAACCGAAACGCACATAACCCGTATCGATAAACATCAGACATGCAGATAAAAGGTAAATGCGATCCGAACGTCAAATAAGCGCAGGTATCTCTCGTTTACCGGACATAATGCGGCGTATAGATGTGTTCGCTAATACCACGACTGACGGTGAAACGCCAATGGCTTAGGTGCCAAATGCTTTGCGAACAATGGGTTCGATTTCCGTGTGTTCGTGTAGAAATTCCCGTCACGGAGGAATTGTTTTCTGATGCAGTAGTCATTTTTTATAATAAATCAAACAATTTTCGACAATTTTTAATAGGTGTTAAATTAAAACAATATTTGTGGACATTTTTAAATGCCGCTTTTAGTGAGTTCTAGCCCATTGGCAGTAAGTAATGGTTATTTGAATACTCGCAAACAATTTTGAATAGTTGTGACACAATATTCGCGTAGAACTTAAAAAAAATCGTTTTGGAGCGCCCTAGTAATTCGTAATGTAAATCATTATTTACGCGTGAAATATTCAAAAGCCCCGTCCGAATGTACCGGCGCCGGAGCTTATCTCGACGTCAATTTCTAAAACGTAAACGTTGCAATCGATGAGCCTGTTTTTTGGTGAGACCCTGCCAAGCTGTTAAATCGCTCTCGCAAACGAAACTTCCCACACGTTACCGTGTTTCGGCCGCAACATGCCACATTGCAGATATGCGACAACCCGAACATCCTATAGCGCGATATCGGATATTCGAATTGTTGTGAAGTTTGTTTATTAAGTAATAATTGTTCTGGATTTTTCCCGTAAAAGTATGTTAATAATATTAATTCGTTTTCCCTTTTTTATAATTTAATTTATATGATAGTACATAATATATAAATGAAAGTAGTTCATAAAACTTGTGTGCTTACGTCAATGAGATTATACGGAGTCAGAATGGCAATAGTTAAAAAAAAATTGAATGGCGTTAGCGTTTGTTTATGTCGCACGCACGCACGCACGCACGCACGCACGCACGCACGCACGCACGCACGCACGCACGCACGCACGCACGCACGCACGCACGCACGCACGCACGCACGCACGCACGCACGCACGCACGCACTAGAAGACGGGCAGGTTCAGGTACGGGCATCGGGGAACCGAACCACATGACCCGGGCATTGTGTCAGGTGACGCACCGTCCCCCCGGTAAATAATAATAATAATAATAATAATACTTTATTTGCCATAACCCAAAAACAAAAAGAAAATTACATAGAAAAATATGAACAAAAAAAAGATATAAAACAAACTATGATACACAAAAAAACTATATAAATAACATTTTGGCAAAAAGGTAATAAGCTCAGCGATTTCTGAGAATTTCTCAGTGCTGATTTTCAGCTTAAATGCCTAATATCGACACGGACAGTATGGTATGACGCGTTATCGGCCGTCGCAACCGACCGGCCGCCGAGTGCCAGAGTCGGCCGTCAAAAATTCGGCGGCTTCTGTGCACGGAAATTTCGCCGCAAAGCGTCGCCCGACGCAACTCTGCAAAGTTCAGTCCCACTTTTGCCCCGTGCGCCGTCACCGCGATGATAGCGAACGGCTCGCCTTTGCGAGGGACGCGCTAATACAGCACCGCAATTTACCCCGGTATAATTTACGTTATGTTATGAATTTCGGCACATTTGTTCTGATTGTTCTGATAACCGCTTACATCCGTCCTTCGTTTTTGTTTTGTTATCGTCGTTCAAATAGGAGTCGTTAACACTCCACATCTGGAGACACACAAAAGAGGTCCTCCTTTATTAGTTTTATTTAAAATGTTTCTTAAATGCTTCTAACTATAGTCGACGATATAAAATTTCATCCGCGAAATTGCTTACTTTTTAAGCGGGCAAATCGAAGACTAGATAAGGCGTGCAAAGCAGATTACTTCATGCGTGTTGAGATTGATTGCTCGCTTATACCCTTGTGCATCTTTAAGTTATGAAGGACTAACGAGTCGGGGCATTCGTATCGTTTCGACTTTGCTCGCACAACTGCCACAGGTACGGGCCACATTCCGCGCCCGGGCGATACATATTCATTCGTCCGTGGGTTGCGCCGAAATGGTAATTTCGCGTTGACGACGCGCCTCGGGCTTTGCATTTTTGCCAACTATGCAGACGCGTTTCCAGAGCGCACGGAGCACCTGAATATGTACACAAACAAAATTCCCCCTTATCGCGTTCCCCGTATTTTTACCGAGTGCAGCGAATGAGAAACAGAGAGGAATAATTAACGAATAGCATTATTTTTGTTTTGCATACACAGTTCCCGCTTTGTGTCTGCCGCTTTACAGCAACCGTATCAGCAACGCTCCCTTCTCTTTAAGGAAAGCACGGCCAGCTACTTTCTATAACATTTACGAGCACGTAGAGACGGTGTAGTCTGGAAATGCAATATATTAAGTTCTCTGGCAAAATGTTGTTTGGTAAACAACACTCCCTATAAGTTTTCAATTTGCTTTTGAGCAGTTCCCTGAATCGAACTCCACCAAATTATGTTAATAATGGACTACGTGGGAGCATATCAGAACCCAATGCATAATGAATTTTTAAAATCGCACAAAAAAAATCATATAACAGAATTGATATTCTTCTCCTTTTTTGGTCGGTTGAAAATTAAAACGTATTGGCACATTGTAAACGATTATTCTTTTATCATTTGTGGTTTAACTTTTTTTATTTGTCTTATATTGACAACCGACCGGTAAACATCTTAAAATGTTTAGTAAGATGAAGAATTTATGCACATTCCAAGTAGTTTACCGGTCAAAACGAACTTTTGATTTGACGATTTTAGCCTATAAATGACTAGATCATAGAATCCAAACCTATTTATATTATATTTTTGTAACATGTAGGTATATTTGTTTTGCTATAAGAACAACACTGAAAAGTGTCCATCACAATAAACAGCATTGCAGCCCTTTTTAGAATTGAATGATTATATAGTCGTTTCGAGTACAGCTGGTTATTATATACAAGTGGCGTTGAACGATAATATTCGAAAAACATGATCGCGTGTCGTTCGTGACCCCATATAGGAGTCTTCTATAAGGAAAAAGCGTCTTCGTTTCGCCAACGCAGTATTACGTCATTTCGTTTATAAATAAAAAATTCGTTTGATCGGAAAGAAACAAATTGGCGGATTGCGATAAAACATGGGGTATCTGTCGTAGCTGCATTTGTTTCCATTACGAGCGTTATTGGACATTCGAGGGGTCAGTCCCCTTTTTAGCATCAGCTCGTTATTGAATGAAAGGATTTTACAATATAATGTCGTCGTCGTTTACAAGGCTGTGATTTGTTTTAACGTCTATGTTTTCTTAACAGATATTGTAAAGAATTTTAAAATAACTATAGTCTAATAGAATTAAGATGCATGTCACTATGGAAAAATCTATGCGAACAGCTTCTTTTAAATTATAATCCATTTGACATACGATTACTAGAATCGCTGCCTAACATTGAATTCTTACAACTCTCGTCTGCAACATTATAAAATGAACTCACTTGCTGGTAGACGCGAAGTAGCTGACATTGTATTACTATACAGAATATTGCATGGTAAAATAGAAAGTCCCGATTTTCTCGAGAAATTGAATCTCAGTCTGCCACGACATGGTGTCCGTTTGCAGAGGCGAAATGTGACGCACCCGTTACGGTCAGCACTCTCCTTTGTATCGGCTGTGTTCGAGCTACAATGCTATATGCCAGGATTTCGACATATTTAATGTACGGTGTAGTAATATTAAAAAATACGTAAGGGCTAAATTATAATTTAAAATTTATTTCAATAGTTTTTGTATTAGTTGTAGTTTAAAGTTAAGTTTAAATGTTGTTTTATCTATTATTTTTAATTTAGCTTTAATTTCTTTTGTTTTTCATTTTTTATTTTGTTTGAAAAGTTTTTTTTTATTTCACTGTACAATGATTTATTGTTGAGTGTTTTTTGTGCGTGTTGTGTTCGCTCATAGAAGAAAATTCACTTGTTTTTAAGTTCCGTTCCGTATCAACTTTATCTGTGTCCAATATTCTGTAATATGAGTGTAATGTTCAGATCCTAATTAAATTGAAAAAAAAAAATAATGTGTAATTATAGTAATTTTAATTATGCACTTAGCATAGTTAAAATTTAACGGATTTCGAATACATTTCATTGTTAATACCAAGTTTTTAGGTGTATGGTTGTTCTTCGGGTCAAACTATGTAATTGACTTTATACAAAGTTCCCAAAATTTTGACCATTCTTAAGAATCGCATTGCCATGCACGAAAATTGAAAAAAAAAAAATGTTTACAAAACGAACTTGTCCATTTTACAACTCGATCATTATTCCTATATATATATATATTTCAAGCTCGTTCATGTTTTATTCATGATATACCAATCAAAAGGGATTAATAAACTATAGACCGTAGTCGATATACATTTGTTCGTCCAGATCCAAACAGGCATTAGTAGGGATGTAGCATTTACGTTCGC